TTCATTTACCGAATAATTTCCACATACTCATTAATGTGATCACCTATCGAATTTCTCTCTTTATACCTATAATTCATCCACTACTTAATCAATTACATCTTATTATTCCCTATTTCCTTGGCAAAGAGATCTTTCAAACTTTTCTATAAAGTTTTAGCATTCACTTCTTCCGCAACATGATTAAAAACATTATCATCAATGTACTAATGAATAAAAGCACAAACTTGTTCATTCTCAAACTTTCAATCGTCATTTGTTTTTGTCTTACTCGAAGCAAATACAAGTAGATGCCAACTTTTTATATATAACGGATCTTTCATTTTTCTCTTCCACATGTGATAATTGATTCCATTCAGACTTATCATTTTAATGTTACTCTCCATAATGTTCAAGCTGAAAATAAACAACCAAGCTTTGATACCACTTATTAGGCAAAGAAACACAAATAACATATCGGAACCTCTTTGCCCTTGCTTGAACAATCAAAGATAGGTTATAATCAAATACCTAAGCTAAAATAAGTAACTAATAATCTAAAAAATAAAACATCAATCACACAAGGAACACATAAATGTTTACATGGTAAACCTCCTCAATTTGAGATGGAAAAAACCACAGGATCGAGTCCATAATAACTTCCACTATCAATAATAATGGGCAATACAAAGGAGTCTCTCTAGATTAAACTAAAAGAATAATCAACCACAAACATCAAAGGTTACACACCCTTGGCAAACCACATTAATAGATGATACGCAAAGAAAAGAGAAGAAACCAAGTTCGCATTTCACCAAAAAATAGCACTATTGTAAGCATCATATCTCACTCTCTAGAACTCAAAACCAAATCTCCATTGTTCTAAAATTTTGTATGTCTCTCCTGAACATGGCCACCAAATTTAAGCTTACTCTTACAATTAACGAATCTAGAAACTCGATGTTTCCGTGACTAGTCCGTGCTAAAATTTTCTTCCCTCTTTCTTTCTAAAGTTACGAGCTCTCTCTCCTTTTTTCTTTTTCTCTCTTACTTTCTTCCCTAATGTAATTTTAGAATAAAAAAGAAGATAACGTTTATTTAAAAATACAAAAATTAACCTTTAAGTGATTAAAACTTCATCCTCCACATGAACTCCAAGATTAGGCTCATGTAGGCAAACCTTTAGGCCATTCTCCAACTAGGAGGGAAACCTAACAATTTGGAGGATAGATTCCAAAAACTATTTGCTAGATTTGGAGGATACATTCTCTCTTATTCAACCTCATGTCTTTCTCTTGGATGGATTCTTTATGTTTTTGAGTTTTTCTTGGGAAAATGAAAGAGAGAAAGTAGATTTTGCTTTCTACGAAGGTCCGAGAGAGTGAGAGAGAGAGAAAGGAGGGAAAAAGTGGTGGTTGTGTTAGTTACAAGATAAGAGAGTAAATGGTAACGGAATACTGTTTAGTACTAGTTAGGCTAAAATATGATTTGCACTAGATGGGCTAGAATATGGTCAAGTAGTGCTCGTGGTTTCTTCACCGCAATGAAAGCCGCAAATATTAGTAGTTTTCTTGCCAAAACACCCTTCATGTTATATGGCACATGAGCCCTAGTAGAATGAGTCAAAACCTTAAAAGTAGTCATCCCCCTACACTTGACAAGCTCTATTGTTAATTCGTCCGATGTGGAGTACTTAGCAAGGTTTACACATAAATAAGAGAGGGCTAAATTAAAAAGATTGAGTTAGATTAGCAGCAAGTCTCCAATAAATACATTGGACTAGACTTACAAAGGCGTAATACGATTGCACGAGCAAAATCTAAAAGTGGGAGGTGGGTTATATTAAAAATTAATGAGGTAGGAAATGTTCACTAATATCATCTTTCCGATGGCTACATATAGATTGGTTTGGATCTTACATGTAACACCCCCGATCTAGAACCTAAATAAGCTAAAGATATTATCATCGTGCTTTACAATGGATGTAAGATACAAGGCACTATGTCCTTTCTATGGTGTTATTAGGTATGGTTTAAGCTACGAAAGCTTATTAATAACTAATAGGTCTAACCTTCCTTATAAATTTCAGCCTAAAACACCCTATTAAATTTTTCTTTTTTAACATTTTATTTTAATAGTTTAGTTTGAAATAATTGGATCCGTGTTTCTCGGCTTTGTCAAATTCTTTTTCTATTAGTTAGATTAAAGTCATCTAACCAATACCCATTATTTGATAGTCTAACCTTTTTTCTTTATTGTTTAACATGTTTTATAAAATTTACTTGACTACTCATATAATTATTATTAAATAGTAGCATGTAGATATTAAACTACGTAAACTATAACTATACACTATTATATTATTACATATTTAACATGTCCAAAATCGATTGATGTACAACCTATTTATCTTTTACATGACAGACTAGCTTTAGTATCGCACTACTACCCAAAGTGTTTTATTTATTTACGAGCCTACTTTTCCTTCTACTAACTAATCATCTACTTATTTATTACCTTGACTATCATATAAAATAAAGTAGCATTATCAAATACATAGACCAAAATACCGAGAACAAGTAGCACAACGACATGAATTAGGTCCAACTTGCAGCTGCAAGTAAGATACTCTCATCGAAAAGACGAGAGTGTCCACTCGATAACAAGCTCCATGAAAAACATAGCGATCACTCTATACTATTTACCCCTACATCATAAGAATTGAGCGAGTAATCGCTTAGTAAGTTAATCACGCATGCCATGTACATATGCAAGTAAATGCACTTTGAAATCCTTTTCATGTCTTTCTTGAAATTCCTTTTCATGCTATGAAATCCTTTCCATGATCTTTATGAAAAATATTTTTTGTGGTCGGACATGTCCTATTGAACGTCCAAATGTACACATCCGTACATCTTTGGCCCTCTTTCCTTGAGCACTTCTCCTATGGGGCCATTACCGATTCGCCTATAGTCAAGGCCATTACTAATTCTATCGATAAGAAAAGCCATTTCCTTCTATTGGGGCCTCTACCAATTTGCCCAAGGAACAAATTCTTCATCCAAGATCATGACCAATTCCCTCAACAAAAGAAATGACTTTGCCATTTTCTATCAATTGCAACCATTACTAGTTCCCTAAGTGAAGAAATTCTTCAAAAGGAAATGCAAGGACTATGAAAACCATGAAAATTGTTTCCTTTTCATTGAGAAATCATGAAGAAAATCCTTTTCATGATTTTGACATGCATATGCATTTAATGTAAATTATAATCTTGTGAGTAATTGTAATTCATGCCATTAATATGTGTGCATTTATGCAATGAAAATTACATAACTCAATATAATAAAATACACATAGAAACCTATTACCTTTCCATATATCACGTTCCAATCAAGGTACACAATTCAATGACAACAAATATTTTACATGAGGTACCATGTAACATCACATTCACCATTCAAACGACAAGGCACCGCACCATTTCATTCATCCATGTTAAAATTTTCAAAAGCATAAGCAATCATAACACAAACACTTAATTTGCACACTTTGAGTACATGTATTGCAATTAATCCATCATGAAACCATTGATTGCAATATGTAAACCATTTGATCACCATAATACACAAATCAACCTTTTTAATCCTAATTTCCTAGCCTTAGGCCAAATGTGCACCTAGCTTGAGCTTGGTGGATTATTCAATTTTAATGCCAATTTTCATGCTAAATCATCTTAATATACTTCACTAACATGCAATAAACTAATCAAACATCAATAGGCCAAATGCACTAAAAACTAAGTTTCACTATTTAGGCCGAATGTATGCCTAAGTGAAAGTAAGTGTAATTTTCAATTTTAAGGTCAATTCTCATGTTAAATAATCTAATTGCAATACAATAACATGTTTCCAATCAATTAAGCATTAATAAAACAAAAGCACAATAAACCCTATATTCTACTATTTAGGTTGAAAGTTTCTCTAGGAATAGGTTAGGTAGTTTTGCATTTTTTTCCCACTTATTTTCATGCCTAATTAGCATATTCCAACTTCAATTTCATCAATTACAACCTCTCATCCATTTTCCTTAATTTTAGATAATCAAGAACCCTAACCCAAATTTATAAAATTAATTCAATTACACTTAAATTAAAGGTGCAAAACCAACAATTCACACCAAATAATATGTTCTTGTGATATAGCTAGGTAAGATTTACTTACCTTAATTGCTCTAATTAAATCATTTTTAGGTTGAGTTTTTCTTTCCCTTTTTGTTCCTCCAAGTTTCAGCCAACTATAATTTTAGGCTTAATAAAGTGTTTTGGGGTTGTTTTTGGTGTTTAAGTTAATTTGGCTTGAAATTTCCTGGGAAAATTTTGCAAGAGTTTGCCCTAATTTTGCAATTTTTCCAACCATTTTCTTCCTCCTTCCAAGCTGAATTTATAGGTGAGCTTGGGTACACTTTTGCTTATTTTGACTTGATCATCACCCTTCATTTGGTTTGATCTCTGCCCTTAATTCATCTTTTAATCTTAACCTTTCATTTAATTAAATCTCCACCATCCATCATATTAATCCTAGCCTTCCATTTGTTTATTTAATTATTACATTCATTAATATAGAGGGTGAGGTGGTGGGTTAAGGAGGAAAGCTCATCCAATGCCCTTTGTCAGTGCTAATATTTGTTCTGATCTGCTTAACGTGAAGTTCTGAGTCACTCTCCCATTCGTGGAGCAGCTCCACTCTTATATAAGAATCATTGAGACCCCTCCAGTAAGCTAGTTTATTCCTGAAACATATAGACGCTAATATGACAGAAGTCATTAGGTTACCAATAAAAATATTCAGCAGAGTATTATAAGTTGGATGGCTTTAATTGCGGTCTTCATAAGATTTGAAATTCGTCAGAGTGTGGAACTGTAAGACACCCAGAATTTCTTTATCACATATTGCATTAATCATTGAAACTATGAGACAAAAGAATCAGTCTTGCACACCAATATGAATAAAACCACATAAAAGTTATATACGCTTATCAGAACCAGACCATATCAAAGCAACAAGAACACCAATGTGAATAAAACCACATAAAAGTTCTACCTCAGCAGGCAATGAATGACAATAACTGGGAATGAGGAAAAGATGAGCCTTCTCAGTATCTTTGGTTAAAAACCGACTCTGATAAAGATTCTGAAAGAACACTCCTTCATTCCCATCCTCGCCGTCAAGCTTCCTTGGTTCTTCACAAAGAGTAGCATTATTTGGGTACACAAAAATCTTGAAACTCCTCTCCATTTCCTTATAATCCATATCGAAAGCCTCAGGTATGTGAAAGAATTCGACAATCACATCAGAATCCTGAGGAGAATCTTCAATTGTCCTTGCCCACACCTTTGTCAAAAACAATCATATAATAATTTGTATAAAAGTGAAACAAAGTAAAAAGAAAATTGTAGGAGTCTAAAAGTTAAAGAACAGAAGTTGACCTGAAAGTTGCATGAAAGGAACAGTACTGTAAGGAAATGAGTACCTGAAACGAAAGCGGGAATTCAGGATGATAGATAGAGAAGAAGATGGAAACAATAACAAAAATATAGGGAAGCCCTCTTCGTTTTAGAATGTTTAGAATCTTCATGGACTTTTTCTTGGATGGATTCTTTTCTGTTCTTGTGGTTTTTCTAGGGAAAATTGAGAGAGAAAGCGAGTGAATGAACTTGGTTTTTTGGTAGATCTATAGGTTTGATTGCGAAGTGAAGACTTTTTATACCGAGAGAGAGAGGGGATGACGGGAATTTGTGGCGGTTGTGGGTGTTAGTTCTGACATGACAAAAGTATCAGTACCAGAAATAACTAACAATTTTCTCTGCAACTGCCAAAACAACAGATTCTTGTTTTCCCGCTCACCTCTCTTCTCTTTCTATAAAACAAGAAAATTAAATTGGATCCATATGGGTCAAATCCTATCCTCCGACCCATCTTCTCGGAAAGATTAATTAATTGATTCTTTTTCACTTATTTCCAACACTTCTCTTCTCTTATCTTCTCTCCAGTCTTTTCTCCCAAGAAAATGATGCAACCATACGTCATTCCTCGCTTCAGCAGCATATGGACTAGAAAGAATATTCAGAAGATGATTCTCCTTGTGAGCGTAGTCTTTGTCGTGAGCCAGTTAAATCTGTTGTGGTTCATTCCTCAGGTATATATATTCTCTTCTTGGATTCTTCCTACAGTTTCAGAGTCAGTGACATTGTTGTTCTGAGATTAATGCTCATTTTATAGTTTAAAGATTCTCTTCCTGGTGGAGTCAGAGCGCCCTCTGGTAAGGTATTATTTAGAGGGCTCCCTCCTCAGGTATTATTCACTTTTGTTTCCTTTCTTGCGTGCTTTTTTTATTTTCCCCCTCTTCATATTTTTTTTCCTCAGTTCTGATGTTCTTCTGATCATTAATGTTCATTTTATAGTTTATGGAGAATGGTCCTCTTCCTGGTGAAGTTGGAGCGCCTCCTCCTCAGGTATTACTGTCTTTCCTTCACTTTTTCTTCTTGGTTAAGGTTCTTTAAAGCTACACCATTTTCCTTTTCCTCTTCATTTTGTTGTACTTTTGTTGGGTTTTAGGTAGATAGCATTTCGGTGAATCTACTTCCTCGGTTCTTTATTTCCTCCTTTATCTCCTTTTCTTGTCCCCTTCTTTTCTTCTTCTAATGTTTTCGTTTTAATATATGGTGTTCAAAGAACAATTCGATTGGTAGCATCTATCACAGAGAAGCATTTTTCTTGCCGAATTATGAGGCAATGATGAGGGATTTGAAGATCTTTGTGTACCCGAATGGAATTCCAACCGAACGTTATAATTCAAAAGACAAGCTCACGAGAAAATATGCAAGCGAACATCAATTCATGAAGAATCTTGAACGAACTCGGTTCTTCACATTTGATGCTACTATAGCTAATCTCTTTTTAATTACCTTTTCTTGTATAGAAAAAGGAGGCAAGGTACGTACTTTGTTCACTCTGGCATATAGTTGTGTGATATGTTTGATAACTACAAGTTTGCTTGAAACATATTTTATTTTTTTAATGCAGAAGAAAGTTATCGACGATCATGCTGAGAATCATGTCAAGAATCATGTCAAGAGCTTAATTTTCAAATACCCTTATTGGAATAGGACTTTAGGTGCTGATCATTTCTTTTTCAGTTCCCATGACATTGACAGCTGGGATACTGAAGAAGTTCCATTTTTCAAGAAGAATGCAATTCGGCTTGTCAATTCACCAAGTTATGATTCCAAGTATATTCCGCGGAAAGATATTGCCCTCCCGCAGACACTGGAGCTCTCTCTTCCTCCTGATGGGGACGATGTGTGGAGCAGGTAATCTTTTATGGAGCAAAACTTCTTATGTGAACTCAAATACTGAACTTCACAAAACGTGATGCAACTTGCCAGGTCAAACGTGAAGTCTCGCCCTTCCCAGCTTTCCTCAAAGAAGAAACAACCTCCCAGGTAGTGGAAAAATCAAGTTTAACTTTTTCTGACGCTTTTAGCTCATCTGAACAGCAGTAAAATTGTAAACCGTGCATTATAGAATCAATGCTGCTTCAGCTAAGCTTCTAGGGAAATTATTGCAGGACTAAACTTGGTTTTTGGGCGGGTTTCCCTAACTCAGATGTAAGAAAGAATCTTCAAAATTTTTATAAAGGTGTTCCAGAATTTGACTTCCATTTCATCGACAAAATGAAAAAGGCTAACGTACTAGATGATTATCAAAATGAGCTATATGGGAATAAGTTTTGCATTTGTCCTCGGGGGAAGAATCAAGTCGGTGGTGTTTGCTTAACAGAGTCGATAACTTTTGGATGTGTACCTGGTGAGAAAGCTCTTCACAAAGCTTTTCTGTTCTTACTTTTGTTGAATTTCTGTTTTTGCTTAACCGTGTATTATAGCCACATTCTTCTTCCATTTCATAATTTTTCATATGCGAAAACGATTTGGCATTATTTAGTCATTTGTGATGATAGTAGAAAAGAACTTTAATTTCTTAGATAAAACATACATTAAAACTCTATTTATTTTTTTTTTTTTTTGTTCTTTTTAACCTCATCAGCCTGTCTGTCCTTCGGTTTCTTTTCTGAGCATTTCATCTGTATCTCTGCAGTTATCTTGTCCGACTACTATGACTTGCCATTCAATGACATTCTTGACTGGAATAATTTCTCTGTAATCATCAAGGAGGACAATGTTCCCAGCCTAGAGAAAATTCTTGAAGGCATACCAGAAGACAAGTACAAGAAAATGCTTCAAAATGTTCTTCAGGTAGATAAGATTTTTTTCTCTCGCAGGTTATTTTTAAGATTTCCTGTGTCTTGTAACCCAAGCTCATTTATTGCTCTTTGCTTGAACTATGGAGGTGTTCTGTCCTTGAATGAATACCTTGATGACTTTGGTGGGATCCTGGAGGAACACTAAAAATATTTTATTCTTGTCTGCAGGTTAGAAAGCATTTCAATTGGAATTCCCCTCCAGTCAAGTACGGTGCGTTTCACATGGTAATGTATGAGCTATGGCTGCGCCGACACACCATTAAGTACATCTGAACTACTGGATGCGCGTAGCATATGATGTGACATCTCTGCATCTTCCTGAACAGCAAAGACAAGCAACATTTTCCTCAGATTGTTGGTTTCTGAAGCTGAAAGAACATAGCATTACTTGATTTTCCTATTTTTAAAATGCAATATATATGCAGTAAGGCTTCCATACGAAGCTGTCATAATACTTTGAGCCTCATGTAATGCCAGGAGTTGATTGTGTTTGTACGATGGTGTCAAATTCTGTTTCCTTTGTTAGTATTTTGAGCCATATATCCGATAATGAGCAAAAGCATTCACTTCAAAATCCTATGGACAGTGTATCGGCTCTATGAAATCAATGGTCAAATCCCACAAAACTGTCAATAGCAATTTATCTTTGCGCTTGTGAGATTCTAACCAAGGCACGTCTATTTCTGGTTATAATTTCCAACATCCCTCTGAGGTCTGAATTTGAGAATTTCTGGTTATAATTCCTAGCCTAAAATTTTATGTTTCCTTTTAGTATGACTCTTAAATATTTTTTTAGGCCTTTTAAAATCATCAAAATATGTTGTGGCACTTCAAGTGGAATTCAAGAAGACTAGCTAGCATCACCTGACCATAAGAACTCCAGTACTGTACTGGACTACAGCCTGCAGCAATCTAATAGAATCAGTAACGTGGCAAAAGTAGGAGTACCAGAAATAACTAACAATAACAGAATTAGTTACTGCTTAAAGCATTCGTTCCCTTCCTTCAATAGCCACAGTTAGTTATTTCACTTGTTTCTTGGATTCTCTTAACGCTCATAATTTTATGGTATGAGGATGATCTGACTCAAGATTCTGTTCCTGGTGTGGTCCGCTTGTTTAAGGTTCTTTAAGGGGCGGGGCCTACTCAACTTTTTCACCTTGTTTACAGCGTTGTCCGCTTTCTTGGCTTTACTTTTTATGGTGTAACACTTTGTATATCCTTGAGTAATTGGATTCAAGATTTTCCATGAACCTTATCTGAAGTTGTACTTTATAAGTGAGCTCTCAAATACTGAACTTCAGGTCAGCTGTGGAATCTCGCCCTTTACTGCTTTCCCCAAAGAAGAAACGGTCTCGCAGGTCGTGAAAAAACCAAATTTAACAGACGTACTAGATGCTAATCGAAATGAACTATATGGGAGTAAGTTTTGCATTTGTCCTCGTGGAAAGAATCAGGTCGCTGGTATTTGCTTAACAGAGTCGATAACTTAAGGATGTTGTTAGTTTCAAGAAATGGAAAAAACAGAGGAGATTTGAAGTTTAGAGAGCGTTGCGAGAGACGAGAGAACGTTGCGAGAGAAAGACTTTGTTTGAACAAGGCAGTAGCAACAAAGTAACTCACATAATTTAATCAACAGCCCTAACATTTAAATAGGCTAAGAAACTGAACTACAAGCAGCTCATGGGCCGAAAATAAAGCCATTAGAGCCATGATCCAAAACACGTTAAAAAACTTCCTAAAGACTAGGACAACCCACTAAGTACAATTTAAATAGATAATCGTAGCAATAAGAAAATCACGTGCGATCCCGGAGCAAATTTTAACACGCCTCCTTGCTTTAGGAACTGCAAACTCCAAGTCTTTGCCTAAGAAGTTCGAACTTGTTTGTTGGCAAAGGTTTTGTAAAGATGTCTGCGAGCCGATCTTCGGATCCGCAATAAATGAGGCTCACTTCTCCTTCTTTCGCACTTCTCTTAAAAAGAAAAATTTGATCTTGAAATGCTTGGTTTTTCCATGAAAAACTCGGATTTTGGGAGATTGCAATTGTTGCTTGATTGTCCACAAACACCTTTGTATCATTCGGTTGCTTCAAATGTAAATCACAAAACAACTTCCTCAACCACAATGCTTGATTCATCGCTGCCGTAGCAAGCAACAAATTCGGCCTCTGCAGTGGACCGTGCTACAATCTCTTGCTTCTTGGAACTCCATGAGAAAACGCCCGATCCTAGGCTAAAACAATACCCGGATGTACTCTTCATGTCATCCACGGATCCACCCCAATCACCGTCGGAAAATCCTAATAACTTGAAGTTTTGACACTTCTTGAATTTTACACCTAAGTCAATAGTTCCTTTGATGTATCCGATGACTCGTTTTGCGGCTTTAAGATGCACTTCACTAGCACAATGCATGAAATGAGAAAGAATGCTTACCGCAAAAAGGATATCCGGCCCGGTTGCCGTTAGGTACATTAGGCAACCGATCATGCTTCGAAATAGCCTTCTTCAACTTTGTCCGTGCCGTCCTCTTTACTTAAGCTCTCCTTTGGATTCATTCGAGTAGCCATTGCCTTGCAATCCTCCATATGAAACTTCTTGAGAATTTCTTTGGCATACTTCTTTTGACAGATGAAAACTTCATTTTCCAACTCGCTTAATCTCCATTCCCGTAAAGTATGTCATCAATCCAAGGTCCGTCATTTCAAAAATTTTCATCATTTCTCTTTTGAACTCTTCAACAAGCTTGGAGTTGCCACTCGTGATTAAGAGATCATCAACATAAAGAGAGACTATAAGCGAGATCATCTCCTTTACATTTCACATAAAGAGTAGCCTCCGACATGCTTTTATGAAATCCTAAGCTTGACGGATGCTTGTCTATCTTACTCGTACCATGCTCTGTGTGCTTGTTTCAAGCCGTATAGAGCCTTCTTGAGCAAATAGACCTTCTCCTCTTCACCTTGTTCCACAAATCCCTCGAGTCGTTCAACATAGATTTCCTCCCGCAAAATACCATTCAAAAAGCAGATTTTACATCTAGTTGAAACACTTTCCACCCATTTTGGGTCGCTATAGCTAGCACCGACCGAATGGTATCTAATCTAGCAACGAGCGCAAATGTATCCGAGTAATCGATTCCAAAGACTTGAGCATATCCCTTGACAACAAGCCCGGCTTTGTGTTTGTTGATTGATCCATCCGCATTGAGCTTGGTTCTAAATACCCATTTTAACCCAATAATTTTTCTATCCTTCGGCCTTTCAACTAGCTCCCAAGTCTTGTTCTTTTTTATCATTGACAACTCCTCCTCCATTGCCTTCTGCCATCTTTGGTCTTTAATAGCTTCTTCAAAACCCGCGAGTTCACAAATGGCCACATTGCATCTCCGATAGATATCATGGAGCGATCTTGCTCCACGAATTGGTAGATCATCTTCCAATTCTTCTTGCCACTCGTTCGATGCTTACTCTTCTCTTGTTTGGAAGGGAAGACTCAATTTCGCTTGCTCATGGATGTCTCTTTTGTCCGTTCCCAATTCCACTTCTCATCTTCATTGAAGAACACATCTCTACCGACAATTATCTTCCCCGTTTGAGGTTGATAAACCTTATATGCTTTTGAGGAAGAGCTATACCCAACAAAGATGCTCGGTTCGACTTTTTGTCAAGTTTATCACGCTCGACTCGCGGAATGTGAGAGAAACATAAGCAACCAAACACTCTAAGGAAATTGAGTGAAGGTTTATAGCCATACCATGCCTCGAATGGAGTTTCATCCTTCAATGCCTTGATGGGTAATCTATTTTGCAAGAAAACGGCAGTAATAGCCGCCTCGACCTCAAAACTTTTTTGGCAACTCCTCGTCATGTAGCATGCATCCGGTCATCTCCATTATGTATCTATTTCTCCTTTCACTAACTCCATTTTGCCGAGGAGTGTAGGGAGCGATAAGTTGGTGTTCTATGCCAGCCTTCTTCACAAAACAGATTAAATTCGATGAAGTATACTCCTTTCCATTATCCGACCTTACAACTTGAATTTTGCGACCACTTTGATTTTCCACCATTTTTTTGAACTTCCGTAAAACTCCAGCTACTTCGACTTGAATTTTAAGAAAAAATCCAACACATTCTTGTAAAATCATCAATAAAAGCAATGTAATATCGACTACCCGCCAATGTTTGAGTTCTTTGAGGACCCGATACATCCGTGTGGATAAGCTCGCAACTTGTGAGTGGCTCTCCAAGATGACTTTGGGAATGGTCTCCGATTTTGTTTACCGTATTGGCAAGCATGACAATTCGGTAAGTGATCTCCAAAGGTTGGTAAGCCAACCGTGAGCTCCCTTTCCTTCATAATCTGCATCCTTTGTAAGTGACAATGACCAAGTCGCTTGTGCCATATCTCGGTGTTGCTAACTTCCGTGGAGAATGCAGCAAGTTCTTCTTTGATGGGATCAAAAGAAAAACTTTTTCCTTTCATTCTCACTTTGAGAATTTTCTCACTCGTTGACATCCAAGTATGTGACGGAAAGTATCTTCAAAGATCACTTTAAAGCCTTTTTCAATCAATTGGCCCACGCTCAACAAATTTTGATTAATTTCCGGTACGTAGAGAACATCGAAATTTTCTTTGTGCTCGCAGATGCTAGTTATAGTGATTGTCCCTCTCCCTTTGACAGAGATGTAATCACCATTGCCAATTTTGACTTTAGTAATGTTAGTTGGCCTCAAATCTCCGAAGAGTTTCTTGTCATTGGTCATGTGGTTGGTACGACTACTGTCAATTAACCAACTTCCGATCGAATCGCTACTTGCAAAGCAAGATGCTACAAAAAGTTGATCTTCATCCTCTTGTTCTGCTACTTGGGCGTCAACTTCCTGCTGCCGAGCTTTACCTTTGCAAATTATTGCTTCATGTCCCATTTGATTGCATTTGGAACATTTTGCATCGAGTCTCCCCCAACATTTGAATGGAGGGTGGCCTTCCTTTTCACAATGAGGGCAAGGAGGATATTTACCCTTGAAACTTCCTTTTTGCTTCGTTGTTATTCAAAACAGAACAAAAGAATTTCCCTCTTGGCCTTTCTTCTTTTTCTTTTTGTTTTTGTCGGCTCCGTGATGTTTTGCAAGTAAGGCTCCTTCGGTGTTGACATCTTGCCTCATATGACGTCTCTCGCTCTCGTGCTCGCAGGGAATTAAGTAATTCCGCCAAGGAAATTTTGATGGATCCCCGGTATTTTCCAAGGTTGTAATCGTCGCTTCATACCTTTCGAGCACTCGTGACAAGGATCTTCTCTACAATCCTTGAATCATTAAATTCGGACCCGAGTAGCTCGACTTTGTTTGCAATTCCAAGAAGTCTATCCGAATACTCTTTAATTGTTTTAGATTCCTTTATCTTTTGCAACTCGAAATCCCTTATCAAATTTAACACTCGCATTCCTTTTATCCTTTCGTCTCCCGCATATTCTTCCTTGAGATAATCCCATATAGACTTGGCTGTCTTATGGGACATTATTCTTGTGCGGATCATTGATGACACTGCAACGAACAAGCATGCTTTTGCCTTCGACTTCTTCATCTTCTTCTCCTTATGAGTTTTGATCCGTACCATGGTGGGATTGTTTGGAAGTGCGGGAACATCATAGTCTTCTTCCACTCGCTTCCCAAAGATCCAAAGCTTCCAAGTATGTCTCCATGCGTATCGCCCAAATCCGGTAGTTATCGCCATCGAACACCGGCGGAGCAATTGGGGAGAAACTTGCTTCGGCTTCCATGATGCGTCAAGCTCACACACGGATCCCTTAAGAACCGGGCTCGATACCAATTGTTAGTTTCAAGAAATGGAAAAAACAGAGGAGATTTGAAGTTTAGAGAGCATTGCGGAGACAAAGAACGTTGCGAGAGAAAGACTTTGTTTGAATAAGGCAAGTAGCAACAAAGTAACTCACATAATTTAATCAACGACTCTAACATTTAAATAGGCTAAGAAACTGAACTACAAGCGACTCATGGGCCGAAAATAAAGCCACTAGAGCCATGATCCAAAACACGTTAAAAAACTTCCTAAAGACTAGGACAACCCACTAAGTACAATTTAAATAGATAACCGTAGCAATAAGAAAATCACTTGCGATCCCGGAGCAAATTTTAACGGATGTCTACCCGGTAAGAATGCTTCTCGTCGAGCTTTTCTTTTTTCTTGGTTGAATTTGTGATTATATCGAGCAAGAAATTGTATAGGTAAAGCGGACATTAAAACTCTCTTCTTTATTTTTTTTACCTCACTGCACTGTCCGTTCTCCGGTTTCTTTTCTAAGCGAGTTCATATGTCTTTCTGCGGTTATCTTGTCCGACTACTA